GAAGTATAGCTAATAGATTACTGATCGGAAATAGTTTTACAAAAAAAGTTCTTGTCATGTTACTTGTTGACCTACAGTGCATAAAGGATTGTCAAAAACGAATAGGTATACTCAATCAGCCTCTCATGCAGTTGCATCACTTGCTAGTCATAGCACAATTAAGAGGGTGGGGGACAGAAAGACAAAAAGGTATTGCTAAGATTAACCCTCTCATTCTGGGATGATGTTCTATCACATCATGGTATACTGATAGAAAATTCATGCCACAACCAAGAGGTAGAGGGTGGCATCATGAGATTATGTTGATAAGAATTGTTAAAAAGATATTATTAAATACTAATTTTTTTTTTCTTTTTCTTTTTATGGCTATTATTTGGATTGCTCTTATATCTTATGAATGGTCATCATTTAACCAATTTAAGTCCATTCTTACCATAAGGAACTGACCTTGCTCCAGGTTGTGCACTCTATACAATTGTTCACTGGTTTGGCTTTTGGTGAAGATGTTTCATATCTGCATCTCTACATGTGGGGTTGAAACCTTGTGTAAGCCTCAGTTAGGCTACTGAGGTGGATTGCGTACCATTCACTGTGCAGCTCCAGCAAAGTGCTGTGATCATTTTTGTTTAAATCACTTGTATGCAAAACATGATTTTAATATTTTTGCATATTCAGAAATGCATAATTTGCATTCCAGTTGCTAAATGGAACTTGTAGTAGCCTGAGTATGCACATTAGAGCCTATTTCACTAAATAAGATATGTTACACTTTGTGTACAAAATTCAATTGGTTTTATTGAGGGACAGAAAATAAAAACTCATTTTTGCAAATTTTGATTTTACAAAATAAGAGATTGTATGTTGTGATATACAAGACTGCTGCCACCTTGGCTTCAGTACTTCTCTTTTGTGTATGGTACTTCATGTCTCTTGGTGCACTGACAGAGCATCAAGAGACAATGTGAGCAGTTGACATGAGGGAGCAGTCCTCATACACAAGAGTGAAAGCTTCACATCAGTAGCCAGAGAGCACCATGTGTTGGTCCGTGACAACTTCCAGCATAGCAGGCGAAGCGTTTATATGCTAATATTTGCCTTTTATACAAAACCATACGCAGTTATAGCATTACACAGTCCCTTCTCCCTCAGGCAATGTCCCAGGGCATGTGGTGTGGGCATGAGGGTTCCCAAAAAGAACAGCATAAAATGTAATGCATGCATCATTGTAACATGTCATGAATCACTCATGACCCAGAGCTGTGCCCAAGTCAGTCATGACTTGAATAATATGCCACCCAGATCCACGACCAAGTCGGCCATGATGTGAACCCTATGCCATTGGTAGGCTTAAAGTTATGATAAATGTTGTTGAAAAAATGAGAATTCCAGATGCAAAAAATCTTACGATTCAAGGTTAACAATTATATTATTACTTCAATCTACTCTGTAAAATGTTTTTTTCATTTTATTCATGCAGTATAATTCTTTTAAGATTATATTTATCAGTCTTTTGCAAATGTTATTAAAATTCAGTGTTTAGGTAATATGTTGCTTAGAGTGCTCGTAAAAGTACTGATATTTTCTCACAACCCAGAATAGTTTTCAAGTTTTGATTCAATAATTCAGAAATAAACTTGGAAAGAGGTCTGGTTCATGACAAATTTCAGTAAAATGTTCCTTTGTTGTAAATTGTATTAAAGGTTTTTAAATTATATATATTGGTAGAGCACAGGAATTAATGTAGAATATATGTATCTATGTATGTATATATGTATACATATGATGTATAATATATATGTATATGTATGTATGTGTGTGTGTGTGTGTGTGTGTGTGTGTGTGTGTGTGTGTGTGTGTGTGTGTGTGTGATTATTATTAAAGAACATTTGAAAATGATATTGATTATAATATTTAAATATAACCATTTTTCCTGCAACCAATTCTGGTCCTCCATCAGATCTAAGATCCTCAACACACATATCTCTTAATTGCTTGTATAGCTACCATATAGTGTTTACATGACTGCAGAGCCCCTCATAGAGCAAGGCTAAGTTTATCCCCTCAGTTAACAATCTCTCTTTCCTTTCAGATGCCGGACTTTGTGGATCCGGGGGGCTATGGGGAGGTGTCTGGCGAAATCACTATCCCCGGCACCGTAGGCAAGGCACAAGCCGACGAATATAACACATTGGATGAACCCGTCAGAGAAACTATTGTAAGCCCCTTTTTGTTGTGTCCTTCGGAGTGGTGGGGAGAACTGGTCTAGGATGATCTGTTTTCATGCTGCGTCTTTGGGCTATTTCAAGGTTTTAAAGATTGAGGAGTATGTAGGAAAATGTGTGTTCATGTGTATTCTGGCTCTTTCTTTCCTATTCTTTTTCTTTTCTTTTCTTTGTGTCTTCTTTCTTTCTTTCTGTTTTCTTCATTCTCTCTCTTTCTTTTTTCTGTATTCTCACTTTCTCTCTCCCACTCTTTCTCTCTCCCTCTCTTTCTTTTTTCT